TTATGAACGACTCTCACATAAAATAAACGGCCAGATTGAGGCGTATCAAAGCACATGGGAACCGTTTTTAAAACCAGAGAGGAAAGACTCAAACACTATTGATCCAGAATAAAGATGCAGTGTGTGAGAAATTTTTATTTATTTAATTATTTTTTCTCTTTAGTCTCATCTGCTGGCGGATGTGGAGGGAGTACGGGAGGGCCGGAAGGGGTTCATGGTTAAATGTTAAAAACCCAAGTCCTTCTCTGTACAATCACTCAATGTTGTACACTTTACAGCACTGACACTGTCATCACTGGTTGTACTGTATGTTTAATTGTTGAAGGATGTAATAAACATTAAAATTGAAAAAAACAAAAAACAAAAAACCAAAAGGAAAGTAAGGAATACAATTTTATATACAATGTATTGCAATATATTTTAATTCTGTGAAAATATAACTTTTTGCCTGAGTTCTCTAACTGACCCTGACCACATGGAATCCAGAGCATTTTGGGGTTTTTTTTATGGTTGCTAGGCAACAAGCTAGACTGACATGTGTTCTTTGGGCGTGGACATGTGTTCTTTGTGGGCGTGGACTAGGATGTCATTGTGAGTCATTGTGAGTTTTAGCTCAGACCATTTCAACTGACTTGCTACAAGGTGCAACGTGTCATTTGAGGCTGCAGTTTCTGGAGGTAACACACCAGTTCTATTTAGCTAACATTTCTTTCAAACAATACAGAATTATTACTGTTGTGTTTGGCTGAATTTGAAATTGAACTTTAAACAAGTGTTGTTACAAGAAAGTTATTTGGAAAAAAAACTTATTCAGTTAAAGATGGAAAGAAAAAGTGAATTAAATCTTGAAGATGTGGCCGTTTTTGACCGCGAGCAGTTTAGAGCGAATATTCTTAATCTTCTCAGTGAATTGACTACAGAGGAGTGGATACTTTTGTATATGGACATAATTCATTTTGAAACACAAAAGAAGATTTCTGAGATGTTAAATAAATATATTCCCTCCATAATTAAACTGATTTTGAATAATTTAAATCAGTTGAATGATGGAAGCCAGCAAGTAAGGTCTGTAAGGTCAGATGTTCTGGACAAGTATTTGATCTGTGAGGCGTTAAGGAAAGTAATAAATTATCTCTCAACATGTTCAGACTTAAGTGAAAGGCTGGAAGAAAATGACTTTAAACAAAGAATTAGGCAGTTTTTGGAACAGTGCTTTGGAGTAGTTCAGACAACAAAGCTGAAGTGTGGGACAAAACTAGCAAAAGGAAATGACATATCAGGACATATCAAAGATGAGTCTGAACAGGAAGGGAAAGATGCAGAAAAGGAAGAGTTTGCTGTACCTAAAAAATCTAAGGGTGCCAGATCAAAGTATCATATCAGTAAGCTTTGCACAGGTAAATGTTTTGGAGAGGATTCACAGTCTTCATCAGATGTGACAGATGTCTCTGACACTGAGAAACACTCTACGATACAGAACCATGTTGCTGCATGTAAACTCTTTTTCAGAAACCTGTTTAAAGGTAAATATTCCTCGAAGGTTTCACCAGCAGTATCTGACGTGATAGACGTCTCTGAAAATAACTCAACAGAAAATGTTGCTGGCATGTCATCTCAGGAAAAGCTGCAGATTTCATCCCTTCAGGAATCAAAAAGACAGCAGGAACCAGGAGAAGACGGCCCTGAAACAAAGCCAAATGAGAAGGAGCTACCAGAAAAGGAAACCTTTCCTGCAGTTGCTGCATGTAAACGCATTTTCAGTAACCTGTTTAAAGGTAAATATTCCTCGAAGGTTTCACCAGCAGTATCTGACGTGCCAGACGTCTCTGAGAATAACTCAACAGAAAATGTTGCTGGCATGTCATCTCAGGAAAAGCTGGCCCTGAAACATGGAAGGACCATCCAAGGGTATCGGTTAATCGTGACGTTCAACAGCTCTACGAAAAATATCAGAGGGACCTAAATGTTAGTAAGGAAGATGACGATTCTCAAGACAAAGATATTTATGCAATCTTTGATGAGAAGGAGCTACCAGAAAAGGAAACCTTTCCTGCAGTTGCTGCATGTAAACGCTTTTTCAGAAACCTGTTTAAAGGTAAACATTCCTCGAAGGTTTCACCAGCAGTATCTGACGTGCCAGACGTCTCTGAGAATAACTCAACAGAAAATGTTGCTGGCATGTCATCTCAGGAAAAGCTGGCCCTGAAACATGGAAGGACCATCCAAGGGTATCGGTTAATCGTGACGTTCAACAGCTCTACGAAAAATATCAGAGGGACCTAAATGTTAGTAAGGAAGATGACGATTCTCAAGACAAAGATATTTATGCAATCTTTGATGAGAAGGAGCTACCAGAAAAGGAAACCTTTCCTGCAGTTGCTGCATGTAAACGCTTTTTCAGAAACCTGTTTAAAGGTAAACATTCCTCGAAGGTTTCACCAGCAGTATCTGACGTGCCAGAAGTGACAGAAAGTGAGGACAACTCATCAGAAACGTCTGAGGACATTTGCTTTTCTGAGCACTCGGTTACCCAACAGAAATCAGGCGGGGAAAAGGATACACAACTCAAAAGTGCTGTGAAAATGCTTGTCAGGAATATTGTTTCTAAAAGCATCAGAGAATCAGGAATGATCTGCAGTCAGAAGGTATTTGAATACATAGAGGAACGGTTGTTTTGTAAATTGTGGTCAGAAATTGATTCAGCGCTGTTAGATGTGGACCCAGAAAAGATAGCAAACTGTGACACTGCGATTTTAATAGAGCTTAATCAATTATTTAACCGCCAATGCTGTTTACTGGATTATTTGTATTTAGATAAAGAACCAAGCCTTTATCTCAAAATTGTTGTGTCTTGTGCCAAAAAACACTTGACGAAGCTTAGTGACTCTACCGATTGAAGTTATACATAGATTTTTTTAATACACACAACAGATATAGATATATTTTTTCTTTCCCTCCCTCTTCTGTCCTATTCCCTTTCTATTATTTTATTTCTCTGTCCATCCACCCACCCACCCATTCCATCCATCCATCCATACATCCATCCATCTAACTGGTTTTCTCCAGGTACTCTGGTTTTCCTATATAAAAAAAAAACATTAATCTAATTGGGTATTCTAAATATTCATCCCCAATGGGACGGTAACTTTAAAAGCAACAACAACCGTTCTTTTTATACCTGTTAATGGAAACCTATGTGTTTGCACCTTGAAGCTTTCTCTCTCTCGTTCTTTTTCCTGAAAAGAGATCACTCTGGACACACCCCCTTTCTATCATTTTATCCATCCATCCATCCATCCATCCATCCATCCATCCATCCATCCATCCATCCATCCTCTTCTGTTTCAGGTGATTGTAGGTGGTGGAATTTGACGGATGCTGGGAACTTCCGTTGCTATCAGCTCCTCCTGAGTAACACTCCCAACAAACAATTTTTGAGGCAGAATGCAGCTAGGTGGACGGATCAACAGAGAATTCTATCTGAAGGAAGAAGGAAAGTTGGCGGTAGGCATAAGCCAGTTTGTGACTGGATCAGGATGGCGGCTCAGGTTATAGAGGATGAGGAAGATCTAGATAGTGATATGGATAGTTGGACGCCAGTGTTGTGCCATATGCCATGATCATACCTTTTGGACATTGGGAAGCAGTGTCCATATTTCATCCTGATAGGATGACCAGAGGAGAGAACGCAGCTTTGGTGGATAACAGCTGGGTGACTTCTGCAGCCCCCCCTTTTCAGCCAAAGTCACAGGCAAGTCACATGGGAGCCACCAGAGGTGTGAAAACCTACCCCCCTCCCTGTGAAGAAAGAGAAAACCACAGAGCACAGAGGATTCTCCCTCTTTTGCCTCTTCTCTCTTTCTCCCTCTTCGGATCCAGCCTGCTTCTGCTCCTGCGCTCAAAGTTGGGGCCCACTGTGGCCCACAGTGGAGATGCGGGCCCCAGGGGAACCAGATCCCCAGAACCATCAAGGATGAGTCAGAACTCTTCAGAACCTAACTGCTGTAAACAGAACTTTTGCAACACATTTCTCTTGAGTTTCAGAACTTACAGAGGCAAACTGGATGAAGACCATGCCCTGGTGTGAGACTGAGACAAAGGACCCCTGACTGCAGAGCTGCAAAACTGGATGAAACTCAAGCTTTCCAAATGGACATGGAAAAAGGTTTGCAGGTCTGGCATGATTAGGGACAGAACAAGCAATATGTCTTTTGATGATGCTAATCATATTGTGTGTTTACTGCTGAGTAAAGACAACGCTAATTGATGCTAAAGAATGGACTGCATGCTACACAATGCTACAGGAATATGTGTTGAGCCGTTGCTAAAGCTTAGACAAGCTTTATTCACTAAGGATTTAAACACTGATAGAACATTAGTGTTCATGTGTTCCTCAAATGCTCTTTACATTTCCATTACCAAGTCTGACCAAGAGTCATTTAGTGGAAGCCTGATGTCTATTCGCTGCTAGCTATTTCAAGGAGGTAAAAGAATCATTTAACTAAAGGTTTTTGGTTCTTGATTAAGCAAATCATTCAATAAGACATTATTTGGCCAAATAATGTTTTATTCACCTCATGGATTTGCATTGTGAATTGGTCTAAAAACATTCCAATTTCTTTAAAATTAGTAAAAAAGCTAATTTGATCACATCCCAAATTATTCCAGATAAACTTTGGTTTCAAACACAGAATCCATCTTAAACTGTAATATGTTTTTCAACCGTTTCCCCCTTCCTCTTTGTACATAGTAGTTAGTTTAGTTTAGTTGAGTTTTACTAGTCTTAGTTGAGAGTGTTAAACTGAAATACGTTTGACTTGGAGCTGAATGATTTTTGTTAATAAAATCTTATATTTTGAACAGAAGGTGAATTTATTCCATGTATGTGCAGAAATAACTGTTTGACCATGATTAGTGCTCGAATCACTCTTTCATCTATTGTTCTAACACACAGTTAGTAGGACTGTGTGTCATAAAAAGTATATAACAGCTGAAATAATATCTGATTAAATAAGATATTTTACCACCCCTACAGGGGAGGGCAATAAACATCTTAAAGTATCAGAAACATAAATTCCCAGCGGGCTGGGAATAGAATTTAACTATAGAATCACAACATAAATATGGCGTCCCTGATTGCTGGGCCCATTATTTGTAAAATTTATTTAGCGTCCCATGTTACTGGGCTCATTGAATGTAACATTTAATTGGTGTCTCAGTTTGGTGGTCATTGAATATAACGGTCATTCTGCACATATATGAGAATAAACCATTATTGAAAACCGTGTGAAAGCATTAACATCAGCTCTCACCACTCAATAATGAAATCTTAAAGTCACAACCTAAGAATCCAATACCAAATGTCTTAGCTTATGTGAGAAGAAAATATAACCTTTGACATTATTGGAGCATCAAGATATAGAAAATTTAACAACATCTAATAACTCCAAAATATCTCTTCAGCTAGTGATAACCAACTTTACTTCAAAGCAAAACTCAGATGATTCAAATCAATCTGATCACTTTGGTCCAACTAAAACTAAAAGATTTAACTCCCAAGTTAGTCTTATCGTTCGACCAAAATTTATGCACATCTATAACTAGATGCTGCCATTTGTGGTTTCTATAACCACATCCCAAAAATGAAAAGTCCCAAGTTATGCTATTTCAAAGTCACCTCCAGTCCAAAATAGGTTAGATGCCTCAAAATTTAACCTAAATCCCTTTGTCTATTAGTTTGACAAGACTCCTAAACACTTATTTTATATTGTGTAGAACAAGATTTGTTGCCAGATTTAACGTAAGTTAATCTGTGGTCCTACCCAACCAAAAGGGGGTGGATTCAAATTAAATTGCTTAAAATCCCTTAAAGAAAGGTGAATCATAAGCTAAATTGCTAGTAAAACCTTAAAGGTTAAGCTTTGCGCCAAACTGCTTATAAATCCTCCAAGACAGGTAAAGCATGCGCTAAAATAGCTAATAAATCCTAAAACAAGGTGTAGCATTTTTAACACTGAAAGAAAATTGCTTCTTTGTTATCACAGAAAAGGTTGAAGCATAAACTAAATTGATTGTAAGTCCTTAAAAGGTAAGCTTTGCGCCAAACTGCTTATAAATCCTCAGAGACAGGTAAAGCATGCGCTAAAATAGCTGGTAAATCCTAAATAAGGTGTAGCATTTCTAACACTGAAAGAAAAGTGTTTCTTTGATATCACAGGTTTAAAGATAACCCGTGACCCGTTTCTACACACATAAAAATAAGTCCTTACAATATGTATATGTAAATATAGTGGGTACTGACTGGATTGTGTTCTTTTGAAATTTCTTCATAACTTGTGTTTTTGTGCCATCAGCTGAAAATGGATCCAAGCATCCTCAATTCTGGGCACATCATTGACTCCATAGGCAAAGAGAAACAGAAACAAATTGTTGCAAAGCTTATCCACTTATCTTCAGAAAAGCAGGATAACCTAAACAATTTTAACCTCAGCCTATGTGAAGAAAAGATTCAAGAATTAATTAACTTAATTCAAAACCCAAATGGAAACTTTCTGATAACAGATGTCCTCTGTGAGCTCACGCTACTTTATCAGCTTAAATACCAAATAAAAGCTAAACAGTACTCTGAGTTAGAAGCCAAATATCAGATGATCTGCCACAGAATAAGTGCTGCAAACATTTTATTGTCAGGAGCTGACAAGATCAAAGACCCATGTGGCAAGACTGACCATGCCTTAGAACAAACAGTGACCCCCCTCTTGGAGGAGCTATGCAATAAACAAAGCAAGCAGACTTTGAATCAGCAGGTGGTCACCCCAGTCGAAACGAGAACAGCTCCTGAAGCAGATACAAAGTCTCTAAACTCTGAGTTAACACTAAATAGATCTGAAGATGTTCAAAGTGCAAGTAGTGTCGCAGACAGAGAGAAACAAGTAGATCACTTGGTAAACTCAAGCAGTTTAAAATTTTGCAAAGGACAGCCATGCAAACCAATCTCTGTCTCACACTCCGCTGACCGAGCACCAAGTGCCAAAGTTCACAGCTTGAAAAACTCCAAGGAGAACCAGTCTCCCTTGTGTCATCAAAGGTTAGCTCTGACGGGCCAGGTCCACCGAGTGACCATAGAATTCAACAAACTGAATCCTTGGCCAAAGAAATTGATATTTTTGACCCAGAAAGTCAACACTCAAACATAATGGATTATCTGCAAGAAGTTGAGCACTGTCTAAAAGACTTGCCATTTCCTTCTTCTCGTGAGAAATTGAAGCTGATTTGGAAAACAACAGCTAGAAGCGTCCATGTTTTCATAAAATCTCTTCCTCCAAAAATCAGAGAAAGTTATTCAGCTCTTTGTCAAACCTTAAGAGAAGAATATTCTGGTTACAGAGATCCGGCATTAGCAACGCTTGAGGCATCTTTAGTTCTCCAAGGAGAACATGAAACACCCAGAGAATATTACTTTCGCTTGAGACAGGTTTATTTTGAGGGCTGCAGTTCTCCAGATATTGACGAAGAAGATCACACATTTAAAGCACTGTTCATCCAAAATCTACATAAAAGTCTACGATATGATGTAGCAATGCATTGCAGGATAGAGAACCTTTCTATGCAGGAAACTCGCAGATATGCTCAGCTTGTTTGGGAAATACGTCTCAAATCAGATAGATTTCAAAGCAAGCTTAGAGTCTTTAACCTTCAAACAAAGAACAGGACCAGAAACAGACACAGATTCAGTTTCCCAGTGGTTCACCAAGATGAAGGAATTAATGACTTGAGAGAACGAAAACCAGAACCCCCAGATAATGGTCATAAGCCTTCACATCACAATGCAAACCCAAAGGTTTACACTGGTAAAGGGGGGCATCAACAAGCTACAGAAACAACCACAAAAGAAAACTTAGAACAGATCTGCAAAACAGTTCTTACAGAGCTACTGGCTTCTCTGACCAATCACAAAGTACTACAACTCCAAGCTAATGGTAAAACTTATCATATCCAAGAGTATGATAGTTGCTGATAATTTTTAACATACTTTAACCTGTTTTATTCTTTCTTTCTTTTGTTTCACAACTTGAGAAATGATGAAGGTTGAACAACAGCGTCATGAAGGTGTTAGGAAATTTTGTTTGGAATGTATATATTTGTGTATCAGGGTCAGACTTTCCTGCCAGACCTGCTTCAACCAGATGCAAAACCTCTGGAGAAAATGAACTGTTTTATGATAAGATAGGGTCAGCTTCTGCCAGACCTGCAACAAATCATCCAGGGACAAACACTGGAGAAGATATGAACCCTAAATGAACTTTCTTCCTGCCAACAGGAACCTGACTCATCACCGCTCCAGATATCATGGCTTTATGGACCTATTTGTGATCTGAAAACAAAGAACTGCATCTTTTATTTCCAGATCAAAAGGGGGATATGTTGTGCCATATGCCATGATCATACTTTTTGGACATTGGGAAGCAGTGTCCATATTTCATCCTGATAGGATGACCAGAGGAGAGAACGCAGCTTTGGCGGAACACAGCTGGGGGAATTCTGCAGCCCCCCCTTTTCAGCCAAAGTCACAGGCAAGTCACATGGGAGCCACCAGAGGTGTGAAAACCTACCCCCTCCCTGTGAAGCCAGAGAAAACCATTGAGCACACAGGATTCTGCCTCTTTTGTCTCTTCTCTCTTTCTCCCTCTTCTGATCCAGCCTGCTTCTGCTCCTGCGCTCAAAGCTGGGGCCCACTGTGGCCCACAGTGGAGATGCAGGCCCCAGGGGAACCAGATCCCCAGAACCATCAAGGATGAGTCAGAACTCTTCAGAACCTAACTGCTGCAAACAGAACTTTTGCAACACATTTCTCTTGAGTTTCAGAACTTACAGAGCCAAACTGGATGAAGACCATGCCCTGGGTGTGAGACTGAGGGGACCCCTGCTGTGAGACTGAGACAATGAGTCCCTGACTGCAGAGCTGCAAAACTGGATGAAACTCAAGCTTTCCAAATGGACATGGAAAAAGGTTTGCAGGTCTGGCATGATTAGGGACAGAACAAGCAATGTGTCTTTTGATGATGCTAATCATATCGTGTGTTTACTGCTCAGTAAAGACAACGCTAATTGATGCTAAAGAATGGACTGCATTCTACGCTATGCTACAGGAATATGTGTTGAGCTGTTGCTAAAGCTTAGACAAGCTTTATTCACTAAGGATTTAAACACTGATATAACATTAGTATTCATGTGTTCCTCAGATGCTCGTTACATTTCCATTACCAAGTATGACCAAGAGTCATTTAGTGGAATCCTGATGTCTATTCGCTGCTAGCTATTTCAAAGAGGGTAAAGAATCATTTAACTAAAGGTTTTTGGTTCTTGATTAAGCAAATCATTCAATAAGACATTATTTGGCCAAATAATGTTTTATTCACCTCATGGATTTGCATTGTGAATTGGTCTGAAAACATTCCAATTTCTTTAAAATTAGTGAAAAGCTAATTTGATCATATCCCAAATTCTTCCAGATAAACTTTGGTTTCAAACACAGAATCCATCTTAAACTGTAATATGTTTTTCAACCGTTTTCCCCTTCCTCTTTGTACATAGTAGTTAGTTTGGTTTAGTTGAGTTTTACTAGTCTTAGTTGAGAGTGTTAAACTGAAATACGTTTGACTTGGAGCTGAATGATTTTTGTTAATAAAATCTTATATTTTGAACAGAAGTTGTGGTGAATTTATTCCATGTATGTGCAGAAATAACTGTTTGACCATGATTAGTGCTCGAATCACTCTTTCATCTATTGTTCTAACACACAGTTAGTAGGACTGTGTCATAAACACTATATAACAGCTGAAATAATATCTGATTAAATAAGATATTTTACCACCCCTACAGGGGAGGACAATAAACATCTTAAAGTATCAGAAACATAAATTCCCAGCGGGCTGGGAATAGAATTTAACTATAGAATCACAACACCAGTTGCTAGTTACCGTGGAAGTGGAAAACTCAAAAGTAGTGAAGAGAGCTGAGTTTCTGGGAATTCAGGAAACAAAAGAAACCTTGAAGATGACAGTACAGATGATGGAAGCAAGGCTGTGCGTAAAAAGATCCTGAAAGAAGAGGTAAAGATGATAGGAAGATGAAAGTATTGCTCTAAGCCCAATAATATTTTCTAAGGAACTAAAAAAGAAAGCAGGGGAAGTTGAAATGGCTAACACTGCATGAAAAGTGGGATTTTCGTCAATATACGGCACTGTAGATTGTCGTGGAACTTCAGGTTAGCGGCAGTTTACGGCAATTTGCAGGCTTCGTCGAAAACTCCCGTAAATTGTCAGAAATTGACGTGGAATTTCTTAGGCAGTGTTCCCCCCATGCCTCCCCCCCATGGATTTCTAGGGGAGGCTTTAACATGTAAATGAACATGCTGTGAGCCAGGGCCGGTTCTAGCCCTTTGGTTGCCCTAGGCGAGATTGAGTTTTGCGCCCCCCCCGCCCCCCCCCCCCCCCCCCCCCCCCCCCCCCCCACTTTTGCCGTGCGAAATACCAGTACTGTTTTCAGCATCTGTTTAGTGCTTCATTGTGTTGTGTTTACAGTTCCACAAAGAGTGCTGTGTGGTGAATTGTGCCTACAGTTGTGCAAAGTGTGTTACAAAATTGCAAATTGAGTGCAAAGCAGTGTTTGTTCTTTTAGTTTTGTGAACTCAGTGAGTGGATTTGCTATAAGTATTAATAGTTTTAGAAATTGTGCTATAAGAATCAAGGTTGTGTTTAAGCATTCAGAAAAAAACTGTAACTTAGCAACTAACTTAGCATGGAGTGATGCATAGACAAATACCAGAATAGGTTTCAGTACCTTTTCTTTTTTATTATTTTAAATAATTTATTACACACTCACGGTTAGGACTGTGCAAAAACACTTTTAACCATCTGTAAGGACACTTAGGTAAAGTATAACTAAAAAACTGGATTGAATCAATGAATGAATTTATTTCAGACAATTAACAAATTTAACACACATTAAACAAATATTAAATAAATCAATTTCAGAAATTACCAAATAACAATAAAAAATAATAAATTTAAGAAATTCTTCAACCAAGGACTACATCAAAAAGTAATTGATAAACATTAAATTAAATTTTCTGTTCCAGTTCAAATAAATCATTTGAACATAAATAGAAATGAGATAAACAAAATTTTCCTCTAAATAAAATATATCAGGTATATTTACCCTGATTTCTGACATTGATTAGTGATTAAAGAAAGGATTAACCCTCTACAAACAAAAGTGCTTTTATGA